ATAAACAATGCTACAATGAATATCGGTGTGCAGAAACAGTCTTACCTGTGAGATAATTTCTTAGAAGCAGGATTCCTAGTCTAAAGCATTTATTCACATATCCTGTTGGTAAATATTATCAAAGTCATGGTGTGTGAGTGCCTGCTGCCCCTCAACCTTTTCACCTTTGCCAGTGTGACAGGTGTAAAATGGCACGCCCCTGTTGTATTACTTTGCATGCAATTCATAAATGAAGTGTGTTGGCTGGTGTGTTCATATTCTGTTTGCCTATGTCCTTTAAGAATTTTCCTCTTACAGAGCCTGAGTGGTTCAGCTGGTGAAGCGGCTGCTTCGGCTCAGGTCATGACCCCAGGGTCCTAGGATGGAGCCCTGAGTCTGGCTCCCTGCTAAGAGGGAGTCTGCTTCTCCCTCTGCCCCTCCCCCTGCTTGTGCACTCGCGCTCTCTCTCTTTCTCACTCTCAAATAAATAAATAAAATCTTAAAAAGAAAAAAGAATTTTCTCCTTGGGTCAAGTTGCCCAATTCTGGAGTTGGCGAGCTATGGTCAAGGACCAATCCGGCACTGCCCATTTTGTGCCACTGTCCAATCTGGCCACACTCATTTATGCCTGCAGCTGCTCTCATGCTGCAAAGACAGAGCTGAGCGGTTTCCACAGTGACCATTTGGCTTGAAAAGCCTAAAATATTTACTATCTGGACCTTTACAGGGAGAGTTTGCCAATTCCTGCGTCTCATTGATTTTTTTGTAAATTAGGAGATAGCACTGCGGTCTCTGTTGTATTGAACTCACCTCTCTGTTCTACCTCCTGCCCCCATCTCCATCAAAAGTAAGCAAGTCAGAAGTACAGCTTGAAAGCAGAAGTCATCTGGGCACCTTCATTTGGAAACACTTTGGTCTATGTTAATTCAGGGGTGGCCTTTTTATACCCATTTTACACATGTTCAAATTGAGGCTCAGAGCCACGATGACTTCCCTGAGGTCACACAGCTGGTGTGTCACAGAGCCAGGGCGGATGCCCTGTGTGCCTGGTTCCAAGACCACAGATCTTCCCACTAAAGGATCTCACCTCCTTGCAGATGGGGCCAACACCAGGCAGTGGCAGTGGCTGTAGAAAACAGAGTCTGACAGATGTTGCCTTACGGCACCACCAGGATCTGTGGGCAGGGCACGGGAGGCCCCACCTTGTCGCTGCTACATGTGTGTATGAGGAGTGCTCATTCCTGAGTGGGAGTGGGGCAGGAAGGAAGCCTACACCCTTGAAACAGAAACCACAGGGGGAGGAGGGAGCCCTCTTTTGGGGTATGGAGTTGCACGCCCCTCCCTCTGGCTCAGCCACTAGTGAGGAGCATCATCCACTGAGGAATGACCCCCCTGCCAGCTTTGTGACACAACAGATGTGCCTGAGGGAGCCTGACCACGGTCCTGGCACAAGAAGAGAGCACACAAGCCCCAGGAGGGTGGAAACAGATCTCCTATGACTCCTTGGCGCTGGGCCATGGGCACCCTAACACAAACATGACATCATAATCTCAAAGCCCCAAACAGATCATGACCAGAGAGGTTACCCTCCTGACAACAGTCACCCCATTAAAACCACTGACCCACAGAGCAAGAGGAGCTCACAAAGAGTTCAGGGGACGATGCCCAGGGCATGTTCCTCCCACAAGGTGTGTCCAGGTCGAGGCTGGCATCTGGGCACCTGCAGCTTTCAACTGTCCTTAGAAGAGAAGTGTTTTTAGGGGGATACCTTGAAAGTTCTCCTTTCATTTATTTCTGTCCCTATGTTCAAATCCACTCAAATAGGCTGATCGCATAATGCAGCATATTGACACAATTGCCTAGAAGGTGGGGTTTGCAGACAAGGAAACCAGGCAGGGGAGTCCACCCAGCTGGGCTGTGTGGGAAAGCTGGAATTCCAGCCCCCAATCTGGATGGACCTCGGTGTCCGATCTCTCCTCCTCCCCGGATCTCGGTAATTCTAGCAAAGGTTGTCATTTGTCACATTTCGTGTTTTCTCATTTTATGCTTGGTGTAACCGACGATCCTGAAAATAATCAGTATTAATATCTGTATTTCACTGGGGAGAAATGACTCTCAGAGGGCTGACGTGACAGGGCTGTCCAAGGTCACAGGCTGAGCACAGATGAACTGTCGTGACTGGCACCCACGTCTGGGGCCGCAGCCTGATGCATCTACCCACTGTCCCAGCCAGCCTCAGACCCAAAAGGTGGAGCATGGACCTCCTATTGCCTTCTTCCCTTGATTAGATTATTTGAATAGTTTCACAGATCAGATTGTGCACACAACAGCAGTCACACTCGTGTTGGGTGGTCATTTGGGAATCCTGGTCCACACGAAGTTATAAACCCTGTCCCCATCATAGGGAGCACTGCCTCCAAGGCTGAGCACGGGCACAAGGGAGCAGAAAGGGACTTTAAAATGGACTTGAGGAGCTCCACTGAACCTCCGAAGCTCCTCTTCATTTCTATCATCTGAACATCAGGACCCAAGTTGGCCTTCCATGCGTGACGTGCTGCAAGGAGCTGCCTCCATCCTCCACTGTCTGCTGCCATCGTCATACCTGACACACAGCCCTGCTGCCATCGTCATACCAGACACACAGCCCTTTGGTCCTGGGAAACAAGTTTCCTCTTGGGAGGGTAGAGAAACACTATGTAGCAAAGTGAAGACTAGGCCAAGACATTGCCCTGCCTGCACTGGTCTCATTCTAGAACCTTCTATCATGTCCCAGCCTCACCTCCCACCGTCCTCCTCCCTTCAATTCTGTTCCAACTGGTTTGAGACTCAGTATGCTCTGGCAATGGTGTGCACAGATGGCATGGCATGATCTACTTAGGGCAAGGACATCTGGGTCTCACATCCCTTCCGTGTGTCCCCCATAGTGCCCAGTGCAGTGTCACCTAGACAGTACCCACTGGCTAACTCAAACAAGGATCTTCATCTTTAGACCAACAGTTAGGTTCACAAGTCAAGTCATTTTAGAAGATCACATAAAGGATAAACGGATAGGGCAGCCCTGGTGGCGCAGGGTTTAGCGCCACCTGCAGCCTGGGGTGTGATCCTGGAGACCCTGGATCGAGTCCCAGGTCGGGCTTCCTGCATGGGGCCTGCTTCTCCCTCTGCCTGTGTCTCTGCCCCCCCCAACCCCCGTGTCTCTATGAATAAATAAAATCTTAAAAAAAAAAAAGAGGATGAACGGATAAAACAAAAACCAGGTCCATCTAAACAACGGAATATTACTCAGCCTTAAAAAGGCAGGAAATTCAGATGCCCACTACAGTATGGATGAGCCTTGAGGACTCATCGTTGCAATCAGCCAGTGAGAAAAAGACAAATGCTGTATGAACCCCCTTGTAGGAGGTCCCTGGAAGAGTCACAGAGACAGAACGCAGAGGGGAGGATGCCAGAATCCAGGGGAGGTGAGTGGGGGTCAGCGATTAATGGGGGACAGAGTCTCAGAGTGGAAAGATGACAAAGTTTGGGATGTAAGGACACAACAGTGTGAATGTGCTTGATACCACTGAACTGCAGACCCAACTAAATTTTATGTTATGCACTTTACCACCACTAAGAAAAAAATCACATAAAGAATCATTCATGCGCTGACTCAAGACTGGACTGGCAAGGCTAGCAGCCTTCCCTCTCAATACCGGTACTAATATAATCCATACACATCCAAATCTTTTTGCTGGAGGGCAGTGAGGCTCCCTCTGCCCTCAGATCACCCCCGGCCCACTGCAGGACCATCATTTCGTTATGACTTCCTTGGGGGAATGGACAGAAGTGGACATTCAGGGAAAGGACAGAGGTGGAGAGTTTTGGCTAAATTCTGAAATTGTCAAGCGACTCATCAACGCGTTTTCCCTCTCTGGAAGGTTGATAACCTTATCCCTTCAAGAGAGTTGTAAATGTCAGGACACATTTTTTGAACTATAAATCAAAGGCTCTTAGGGCAGTCTGGGCACAGAGGTCAGTTTGGTCCAAGACCAGGTTTAAGAAAACGGCCCTCTGCGGACGCGCTCTGAGCTGGTGCCTGAGCTGGTGCCGGGAAGCTCCCAGCTCAGAGAAAGCTCTGGGTCCAGGCAGGGCAGGTGCAGCCGGGAAGGCTGCGGTTCCCCACAGCCTGTGCGTCTCCCTGTGGCCCCTCCAACTGTGCTCTGAGCTCTGAAGCCACGGTCCCTGTGGCCCAGAGCCTAGGAGAGCTGGGGGAGGGGGAGGCTCTCAGCCTAACCCTGTGCTGGGGTGGTCCCACCTGGCTTTGCTGGAAAGGAGAGGCCCCTCCTGCCCCGGTTCATACACTCCCCACGGGAGAGGCTGTCCTTCCCCCCTCAGCACCCAGGGGCCCCACCTTCTCGGGAGCGTCTGAGTCAGGCCTCCTCGCTGTGGTCTGGAAACTTCCTGTCCTTTCAGGTGTTAGAGAAGGTTCTTTTCCTCTCTGTGGGGCAGGTGCACAGAGGGGTACCCTGCCAGGCCACTGCCGCAGACCCCCTCAGGGTCCATCCCTCCGATCGGGGACGGCTGTGGGAGCTGTGCCAGGTGGACACACCGGGACGCAGACTGTCCCAGGGGGGCATGGAGGGGACACGGTGGGGCGGAAAGTGGAAGCAATCAGGATGGCAGGGGAAGGCCTGGGGAGGGGGGCGGCCGGGAGAGTGGGTGAGGGATGGGGTCCAGCCGCCCGGACCTCTCAGGTCGCCCCCGCCCCGCGCGTGCTCTGCCCCCGGCCGCGCCCCCATCGCGACCGCGCCCCCCCCCGGCGGCGCTATCTCCCACGACCCCCCCATTTCTCCCCACCCCACCCCCGGGGCCCCGCGGCGTCATGGCTCCCCCCACCCCCGCGCCGTCCCACCCCCGCGCGTCCTTCCCCCGCCGCCCGCCGCCCGCACCCCGCCCGGACGGCGCCCCCCAGGCAGCGGCGTCCCCACGCTGCACCCCCAGCCGCGCCCCGCGCCCCCCTCCCCCGCGGCCGCCCTGCCTACCTGGGGCGCTCATGCTCCGCCAGCCGCGCCGGCCGCCTCCTCCGCGCAGGCCTCCGGCTTCCCCCTGGGCCCCGGCCCCCCGCGCCACCGCCAGGCCCGCCGCTGTCCAGGCGCCGCCCGCCCGGGGCTGCAGGGCCAGCAGGGGGCTTCGCGCCGCCCAGGCCGGAGTCCCGAGGCCGGAGGAGGTGAGAGAGAAAAAAGGAGAGAAAGTGTGTCATAGGCTGGCAGGGGGAGGGAAATGCAAAACCCGACAGGAAATGAGACTAAAAAATGCAAAAGGTTAGAAAGAGATAAGGAAGAGGGGGCGGGGCGGGTTTGGGTCCCGTCTGGGTAGAGGAGGAGGAGAGGGGAGGGGAGGGGAGGGGAGGAGAGGCAGGAGGGGGGGGAGCGGGCGGGCCCCCGGGGTGCGGGAGCTTGGGTCCCAGCTCTAACCCCAGTCCCCCCGCCCCGGCCCGGGGAACCCATGGGGCCCAGGTGGTGCCCTGGGCAGGGACGCCCCCTTCTCCAGCTCTGGGTGGGGGTGAGGCGGCTGTCCTTTACAGGAATTGGTTGCGTTTTGAAGAACTTCCAGACCTCCTCCCTGTGATTTGGCGGGAGGCTTTTCCCACAAATGAGCTGGATGCAAGGAATCCTGTAGCCTTGGGCTCCCTCCTCCCTCACCCCAGGCCTCTCTCCCTTTTCAGCCTCAGTTCTGGAAACTTCCTTGGCCTTTCCTAGCGGTCATCTCTCCACCAAGGACCCCTGCCCTTCTCTTGGACACTTGGTGGTGACAGAGCCAACTGGGCCTTTCTTCCCCCCACTCCCTGTCCTGGGCCCAGAGTACTCACCGCCCCCCCCCCCCCCCCCAGTGCTCTCAAAGTTCTGCTGAATGACCCTGGTAAGAGAAATTGTGGTTTCTAGATGTCCCCGCTTTAGTAATTTACTCTGGGCGCCTTGCTCTTGCAGGACAAGCACTGTATGGACCAGAAGGTCCTGAGGGGGCGGGGGGGGGGGGATATCTGAAAGGTGAACCTAAAACTTGGGATGAATCAGACACACCCTGAGCATCTTGGACTCTACTCTCCCTGCTGATTTGCTAGTTTCCCTGACCCCCACAAATCTTCTATTCTGCCTCAGTTTGTCCCTCTTCTCTCCTCTCTGCCGCTCTTATCATTCACCCTGTAGGAGCTATAGAACGTGCCCCGCTGTTTTATGCTTTAAGTTCTCTGAGCATAGTTCCTGGAGCTACCAAAGAGAAGGCATTTGATCCGTGAAGCCATTAAGAGGCAAGTCAATGTTTGCGAGTGGTGGGAGCATAGGACTACCTGAAATCTTGGCAGTCATGAGGGTGGGACTGAGGAACACGGGTTTGCTGTCTGTAGAACATGTTCCAGAATGCAATCAAGACCCACACAGAGAGAAAGTTCCCCAAATACATAGCGTCAAGGCCCGGCGCATCCTTAGTCCCGGTGACCCGCCTAGGATCAGGGCGGGATCTCCCCACGCTCCATGAGATCTTCCCATCAAGGCAGTGTGGTTTCAAGAGGTCTGGTTTCCTTTATGTGCAGTGTGAACAACAGAATTGATGATGGAGCTATATATACAGTCAAGTGCAAATTTCTGCGAAAAGCTTGGTGAATTGTCACAAAACAAACACACACACCTGTAACCCACACACATAATCAAAAATAGAACTTCATCTACACCTGAGAACTCATTTGTGCCCCCTTTTAGGCATCCTCCCCATCACAGATAACCACATTCTGACCTTTGACAGCATAGATCAATTGTGTCTGACCTCTTACCTATAAAGTCCAAAAACTTGTGTAAATGGAGCCATGCCTAGATTCTCTTCGGGGTCTGGCTTCTTTCACTCAACATTGTAATTTTGAGATTTGGCAGTGGGATTATATGCAGGTGCAGCTCGTTGCAGACATGTCTCTTTTTCTCCCCAACACCTTATTAGAATTTTTAAGCATTCAGACAAGTTAGAAAAATTGTATACCGAATGCCCATATATCCCAGCCACCTGATTCTACGATGAACATTCTGCTATATTTGATTTATTGCATACGTATCCATCTACTTACCCCTGTAGCCATCAATCTTTATTTCTTATGATGCATTTCAGAGTAAGTTGGAAGCATCAGCGACTTTACTTTTAAATACTTCGTCATGCATATCATTAACTAGAGGTGTTTTGGGGGTAAAATTTACATACATGCATATCATTAGATGGAGGTTTGTTTGTTTAAGGTAAAATTTAAAGATTTTAACTATGTCAAGAAATAAATTTTGACAAATACACATACTGTGGAACCTGAACCCCTATGAAGACAGAACTGTGTGGTCCCGTGTGGCGGCCACCAGACACTTGGCTGTTTGGCACTTGATATGCAGCTGATGTGAATAAGAAATGGAAATTAAAATTCCATTTGATTTTAGCTAACTTCAAATAAAATCTAAAAACTGGTACTTGATTTCAACTGGAAAACTTGTAAGTATATTGGGAGCAATCTGAGTATATTAATCTGCTTTCTCAACGGTAAATTTTGTAAAATCTAAATAGAGGTCAAATATTTTCAAGGAAAATTTAGTGTCTGAATTTGGGTACTATACCTGTAAAAGACACACCAGATTTGGAAGACTTAGTTTGCAAAAAAGGGACTACAAAATATCTCATTCGTAATTTTGATATTGCTTGTTGAAATAAGTCTTCTTGATATGTTCAATTAAATAACAGATGTTACCAAAATGAATTTCACCTGCTTTTTTAACAGTGCTACTAGAAAATTAAAAAAAAATTTTTTAAGATTATTTATTTATAAGAGAAAGAGGCAGAGACATAGGTTATAGGCTCCCTGCGGGGAGCCTGATGCAGGACTCAATGCCAGGGCCCCGGGATCACAATCTGAGCCGAAGGCAGACCCTCAACCACTGAGCCACCCGGGTGCCCCCAAAATTTAAAATTTTAAGGCCAAAGAAATATTTCTAAGGAAACCTGCTCTGAGTGTCAAGGGCTCTCAGAATGGGGACAGTGGTCCAAGAAGATCTCTCCTCATGTGACATTGATCAGAGGGACAGCCTACCTAGACCTCTCCTGACTTGGGTCCCACAAAGCAGTGTCTCCTCAACTATCTATCATAGAAGACATTCCCTGGCCTTCGACCTTCTCAAAAAAAGTTTCTGATCTGTTAGGGACTGGTACTTTTATAAAAAATAATAATCAAAGGAATTACTAGAAAATGAAATTAAAAAAGATACTCAAGATATTGCCAGTCATGCTTGGTTCTCTTGGCAATGTCAAGATGCTGTAAAAGTTTCTAAGTGATCAGTTTTGATTTCTGTTACACAGAAGGACAGGGGTCCACTGGCCAGATTTTGCACAGCGCTGCCCTGGAGAAAAGTCAAGCTACTGGTGAGCCACCTCTGCCACAGAGAGCCCCCACCAGCCTTTAGGAGGTCGGAAAACATTTGTCAAACTGGGCCTTTGGAAATGTGGTCAGAAACCAGTGGCTTGAAAGAGGGGACTTTCTGAGCAAATAGGCCAGTGTCTCCTATGTGTGCAGAGGCATAACACAGGGAAGGGAGGAAGCATAATGACCCCCCGCCCTGAAAAAAAAAAAACCCTCTGGTGACTATCCTCAGAGAGATTCCAGCAGAAATCAAACCCATAAAGTCAGAATAGATTCCATTGCTCTCTGCCTGCAGAGAGGGCCAGCTTAAGCACGTACGAAGAGCGACTGCTAAAATACAAGAATAAACAAACACGGTACAATAGAGGGACCGTGAGATGCCAATGGGATCTCCTAGGCTGGAAAATAAATAAAATAGAATCCACGAAGAAATGAAAAGTGTAAGAGACAAGTTGAGACGTTATATGATCAACTCAAAAGAACCAAGGGTCACTGAAGAAGCGTTCCAGGCAGGGAGAGAGAAATCACAAAAGAATATCTAGTTGGGGCGCCTGGGTGGCTTAGTCGTTGAGCATCTGCCTTTGGCTCAGGACGTGATCCTGGGGTTCTGGAATCAGGCTCCCCACAGGGAGCCTGCTTCTCCCTCTGCCTATGTCTCTGTCTCTCTCATGAATAAAGTCTTTTTTTTTTTTAAAAAGAGTATCTAGTAATGTTTGTGCCCAGGAGTGACATATCTACACGGTGGAGGGGTGCCCGGTGAGGACCCCCGTAAAGAGTGAAGAAAGACCTGCACCTGGATTCATGTTCACAAAATTTCAGGGAAGGAAAGAAAAAGGCCGGAAAGGAGAAGACTCTAAAATCTTCCAGAAAGAGAGAGGAAAAAAAAAAATGTGTGCCAATGCCAAGGATCAGGTGGGACTCTGGGTTCTCATCAGCAGCACTGGATTATCTTCCAGCAAAGAGATAATGAAGTAATGCTCCAGCGTTCTCGGGGAGATTTACTTTAAACGTGGAGTTCCGTATTCAACCAGACAATCAATCAAGTGTGAGAACAAAATAAACACATTCTTAGACATGCAGGGATTTTGGAAATTTACTTCACAAGCACTTCTCAGGAAAAAAAAATAAAAAAAAGAGATTCCTCGAGAATGTACTACAACCACATGAAAAAGTTTAAGAAAGAGGAAGACACATGCTCTTGAGAACGAGTGAAATGAGTCGGTGAGAACAGGGAGGCAGGATGGTAACTGTGCAGCCGGCCTAGGAAAGAGGTCAGTGCGTGTCACGTACACTCTCCATGAAGACCCCAGCTACCAAAATAGCTAAATGCTGTGCAGGGAACTGGGTTGCATTAGGTTTTATAGCAGAATGATCTGAAAGCTGGATTTGGTCAAAAAATGATCATTGCTAACGAGTTCAGCTAGGAAAACAGTGAACAAGACCCAAATAAGTGATTTTGCTTTTCCCAGAGCATCCACCACTGGAAGACGTGTCTTTCCATATTCATACAATTCTTTCTTTTTTTTTTTAAGATTTTATTTACGTATTCATGAGAGACACAGAGAGAGAGAGGCAGAGACAGAGGCAGATGGAGAAGCAGGTTCCTCACAGGGAGCCCGATGTGGGACTCGATCCTGGGACCC